GGTGCACTAGAATTGGTAAGTTGTGGAGCTGTGAAGTGTCATTTGTAAAAAAAAAAAAAAAAAAAAGAGATATATTATGAAAACGAGAAGAATTTTTTATTTTTATTTTGTGTGTGTGTGGATGTACTTAAATTTCTCACATCTATGGTTTGTGAACACTTTGATTAGTATTTTTAATTTTTAATGAATAACAATATATCATACATGCAACATATACAAATTAAATCAATAATTAACTTACATCAAGGTGTAGGTAAGGTGGTTCGCATTTTTTATTTGTATTATTCTTAAATTTAAAATCTTAAAATTAAAATTTAGTTCATTTTATAGTGTTTAATCTCACTTTTAATGAAATTATTGACGATTTTGAATTTTTTTTTTTAAGTTTTAAATTTATTGGGAAGTATAATTGTAATTATTTTTCTTTTTGGTATAAACTCTAATATTCATCTTAAACCTATATAACAAATTCACATAATATTTAAATATTTAATATTTTATTATTTAAAAACTTTCAAAATTAAACTGCATTTAGCTTCAGTTTGTTCTATATTCGCATATTGATTGTATCATAAAGTTTAGTGTGGGATGCTTATTTAGCAATCGAGTTAGCTTGATAGTTCTTATATTTAGGAATCAGCTTGATAGTTCTTATATTTAGGAATCCATCTTATATTACATATTTTAAAAAGATATTTCAAGTTTTTTATATTTTTTCTTATATTTTCACTTATTAAATTTATGATTTTTTTAAATACATAAATTGACTTTAACTTCTAACTTAAAATTACTGAATATCTACATTTTTTTTTAGTCACGTCTCTTTTATTGTCTTGATACACATGAAAATAGTTTTCAATTTCGTGATCAACAATTTGTGATATTATGTGTTTTTTTTTTTTTTTCTAAACTATCTTTTTTCCTTTTTTATCTTAAAGACATGAGACATATGTTTTTTCTTCCCTCACAGCTGCATCATATAAAAGTTAGGAATTTAATAATATTTATGAATTGAATATCTTGTTATGCATTCTTGTTTTTTAGGAGGATGCATTTGACAAATTTGAAAGAGGCTTGCACTTTGCTCAACATTAGGATGATAATCTTTTTTCTCCTGGGTAATTCATTTCTGCTTAGTCTCTTTCGTTAATTTTTCATGACATGTGTCTTGTTTGTTTTATGTTCTTTTCAGATGAAAGCAATGAATGTTTATTTTCTTGTTATGTGGTTATTGAGTCATTATTCTTGTAGGAGTTTGCTTTCTGTACGAAATAGAAAATTTATCTTTTAAAATATAAGTTGATTGAAAGAATGTTTACAAATGAATTATTAGATAAGAGTTTATACAATAAAAAATCAACTCATTGGAAGAATATTACCTCATGTAGAGGATTTACCTTTAATAAAAATTATATTTCATACAGTTTATACTAAATAACCA